CTGCAGTATTTGAGCTTATTGACGTTTCTGTCAAGGATCCCTAAAGACCGTCTCTGTAACCCAGCTGATGCTGGGCTACATGTCCTGTTAACCCACATTATTCCCAAAATAAGACTCTTGCAGACAAAACATGAGTCTGCTTCGATTTCCTCTATTAAAAGCCACTAAAGATATAAAAAATGATGTGTATAAATATGTACAGATTGTGGGGAAATGTACTGTGATTATGAGTTGTTGTTTGCATGCTGTCATGGAAATTTACAAGACGTACAGGATGTTGACAGCGCCATGTGACTCGAAACAGGTGGTACCCTCATTTCTATTCTGGGAACCATGTACAGTATTTGGGAGACAGCACTTGTCTGTCAGTTCCATTAACACAAAGATCCACTTCAGTGTCAACCACACCGTATGTTCATCTGGGTCCATCTGAAACATCAATCATGCTGTAGATGTAGGGGGCCGGGAACCTGTTTCTATATTGACATAAGGTTCAATAGACCAGAATGCATTGCATGGCATGTCGAGTTTAGAGTTTTCTTTACTAGAATGAGTCTTTCCTCAGATCTAAAATGCTCAGGCAACTGTATACCCTGTCTTTGTTTGCTGCAAGGCATTTAGAGAAATGTAGGACGTAACAAAAGAGATGAAGACTAAAGGCTGATTTATAAACATTTATATTTGTGCAGTGGTGTGTCTGTGTTTCTCTGCTACACCTCAAACTACACCTTCAAAACACTCGTTGGTGGTGAGATTTCTATGCCCGTGTTGAGCTGTTGCTATAAACTTTGATTGATTCAACTAAAAGACCTGAAACACACACAAAACATGGCTTAAGAGCGACAAAATTAAACAAAAGTACAAAATTCATCTTCATTATAATTCACAACGTTCACAAATGAAACACTTGTCTTTTGCTAGACAGGTTTTCAAAACAAATACAACATGCTAACATTATTAGCATGAGCCTATAGCATTTTACATTGCATAAGTTAGCGCAGTGGCTAGCACACTTTTCCTCTACTCATATGAAGCTGGAAACAACAGCAACATTTAACAAAGGTAACGTTACAAAAGTCAGTTCCATTATGACTCATAAGCTTCATAGAGAAAAATATTTGTCTTTTGCTGGACACATTTTCCCTACAAATACAACATGCTAACATTATTAGCACAAGCCTATGACATTTTACATTACATAAATTATCATTGTGGCTAGCAGACTTTCCTTCTACTCATATGAAGCCAGGAACAGAAGCAACATTTAACAAAGGTAACATAAGGAAATTCGGCTCCATTGTTACTCACAAGGTTCACGGATAAAACAATTGTCTTATATTAGACACATTTTCCTCACAAATACAACATTATATAGCATAAATATTACCACAAGCCTATGACATTTCAGTTGCATAAATTAGCCTAGCAGCTAGCAAACTTTTCCTGTACACATATGAAGCCAGGATAAATCACACACAAGGCTTAAAATGTTATTTTGTGGAGGCTCTATTGTCTTCATAATTTATTGTTCCTTATCTGTGAAATTAAAGTTAATAAAAGCTTTGTTTCTGCTGAGGGAAATGGTTTTCAGTTTACAGAAATGAATAGAAGGTCTGCATTGCTGCAAGATGTAGTAACATTTTTGGGAGGTACACGTCAGGCTACTACACAGAATCTACGCCATGGGTACGGTGTCGATACAACACAGAAGTATAAACTCAGCTTTAGACATGGTGGGTTTAAGAAACAAAAAATATTAAACACATAAAATAACTAACTGCATTACAGACTGATGATATCTCATATATAAACTGGTGACTTTTTCCTTTAAGATGTTTCTGCACACTCTCACTTTGGCCTAAATGTGTGGCTGCACCCAAGTGAGACTGGCAACGCTGCAGGCTATAGCAGAATGCAGCACACACTCACTCACACACACACAAAGGCAGTCAGCCTGGAAAAAAAAGGAGAGAAGGGCACAGGGGCAGAGTGTGTAAACACCTCAGATAATGTGGTTTTGCTCACTGTCTCCTCTGCACTGGCCCTTTTGGTCTCAGCAGGCTGCATTTATTTGGACATAAAGAAATGACAAAGATCACAGGAAGGATTACGGATTAGCTAGGGAGCATATGTTTTTAAAAATTGAACGAATACACAAAGAAAAAAATCACAAAGTGACTGCTTTGCAGCCCATGCAGGTAAAATCTCCATAATCACAGATTCAGCCAGAATTTGAATGAGGTGAAATGCGTATGGTACAGACATGGCAGCCAAATAGCAGAGCTATAGTGTGTAAAATCCCCCCGTCCCTTTTCTCCTGGCAGTGTTGTGTCCTGGAGGCAGAGCTCCCACACAACAGACGGGACTCCCACCACACAGCCTGCAGGGTGGAGCTGTCTCACCGTAGAGAAAAAAAAAACGCTGCCAGCAACACAGAGAGTCCAATCACTCCGTCACAGAGGGGAGAGCTGATGCAGAACGCTGCTGTTTTTCCATTTTTGTAAAATTAGCGGCGATGCTGTGTTGGGAGAGTAGCCTGAAGGCTGAGAGACGAGGCCTTGAGACCAGAAGGGTGTCTGTTCGCACTCTGAAAAAGACAGAAATATGTGAATGTGGTGCATTATGGAGCCCATGGGGAAATCTAGTTTTCATTTTACCCATTTCTCTGTGTCTTCTCGTAAGGATGTGCATGAAAGCTAATGTGTCTCTCTGGCTGCGTATGTCACAATAAGTATGTGTATTATTCACTGATAATGAGGAGAAACTACCAAAGCTGCTCACTGGAATTAAGCAGTGCTTGGTCCTGGGTTCACTGGGTTCACTGGGTTTATTGGTTTTTTCCAAATTAGATTACTCCTCAAGAAAAACCTGACTCAGTCAATGCCTGCTCACAGTGCAGCCCGAGGGCTCATTCTCTATAAGGATCGAGTGAGATGTGTATAAAACATAAAGAATGATGATAACAAGGTATGTTGCTGCGTCACCTTGGGATTAAATTGCACTCTCTGTGAATAACAGGAGCCTCGATGGGCCCTTTATTGAGCTACAGCCCAGCAGAAACATTTTTATAGCAAAATTTTAATTTAAACTGCCACAATCACTGTATTGTTTCAAGTGTAGATGAGCAATGCAGGGAATATATTCATGAGTAAATTATTCTTCCCGACGGGGCTTAAATGCTTTAAATTCATTTAAAGTTAAGACTTTTGTAATCAGCAATCCTCAATAAACAAGCTTTACATCAGTAATTAAAAACCATATTCCAACTCCATTCTTTGAGTTTTATTTTATTATTTCATAATCGTTGTTTAGTGTTAGTCTAATTTTGTACTATATATCTATGTAAGATGGGGAAAGATGGCTCAATTAAAAAACATTGTGCATTTACTGGAAAAACACAAAGTATTTGAATGTGATGCACAAATTAGTGATTAGTTTGTGATGGACAAACTAATCACGATCAACAACATAAGTCCATATGACTAGGCAGCCCCCAAACTGGATTACAAACCCTGACGCACTACCTTCACTCACAAACCGGGACATTGCACACTATCTTGTTTCTGGACTGACTTTGGTGATAGAGATAACAGTGCGTACCTCAAATATGGTACCCCAATCCCACCCACCGTGACATACCTTCACAATCTCTACACAGTACATATGCTTTATCTCAATGCCCCAGGTGGAGATTCATTTGGAGTTTAGGTATCACCACAAGAGAACTATCCTACCTATCCTATCTTATCATGAATATTTGTTTTTAATTATTTTGAAGGTCCAGTATGTAGGATATAGGGGCATCTATTGACAGAAATGTTATATAATATTCATCATTATGATTTCATTAGTTTATAATCACCTGAAAACTGAAGTCATTGTGTTTTTGTTACCTTAGAATGAGACGTTTATATCTACATATGGAATCATGGAGTCCACTATGTTGTTTCTACAGTAGCCAAGAACCATAAAGAGAACTGGATATAGCCATGTTTATTTCTATTAAAGTGAAGCCAAAAGAGATTGATCTCCACGGTGTGAAATGACCTTGATCCTCTGCATTGTGGGGCCCACAGAGCATGCACACTAGAAACTTACAGCGACAGAGCGACTAACTTCCGCCAGCCAAATGGCCTCCAGTTTAGCCCTCTACTAACTTGACTCGGGATAAAATGTGTTATTCTTGCAGCTCTTTTAGACTTTTGAAATGTTATCGCAGTGAATGCTTTTAATCCCAATGGGAAAAACTCTTTTTAGGCCCTACGACATTACGTGATGTATCGGACATCACTAACCCGCACAATGTAGTTCCACTTTTGGCCACTATGTAAAATTGGCTTCTTAGCCTGGTACTGCTATTGTGGGCTTGCTCAGATCAGTAAAAAAACAACAACAAAACACTGACTCTAGATCAGACCATTGGCTTTTTTGCATTGCAGTTCTGCTGCCTCACCTCTAGATGTCATTAAATCCTACACACTGGACCTTTAAATGAGTAAAATAATATATTTTTTACAGGCCAAGTTTATTCTGAATATCATGCTACTTTAGCTCAGCTTCAGGCCTTAAACTAAATATTACAAACAGAATTTAAATTCTTTGATTATTTCTATCTTTTGATTTGTAAGCAGGTGTATAACTAAATTAAGATTTATTCATTTTTTGACTTCCTGTCCTTTTCTAAAAACAAGATATGGGTTTTTCCAAAATTGAAGCAATTGTACCTTTAATTCATTTTTTTCCACATCAACCTAAAAAGCTGAAGTAACAATGTACTCTTGTCTGCATATTATAATGTTAATTGTTTCTCACATATTTAATCTATAAATTGTGGTCGGAGTGTGGTCCATAGGGGGCGCCATGATGGAGCACAGGCCCAGCAGCAGGCTGCTGTGTGGAGGCTCGCGGGAGGGACGTGCCTCATCCCGACAGGAGGAGAGCTGCTGCCATTGGCTCCTGCCACGTTATAAATACAGGCAAATGGCATTTACCGGCTCAAAGCAGGCGGAGACACCGGGGGAGGCAGGCAAGCAAGCAGGGAGACGCTTCTGTCGCTTTTACATCTCGACGACTCACACACACATAGACACACACACACACACACACAGGATTGGACTTTTACATTTAATATTCCGGCTGAAATCAATGAAGGAGAGACGCTCGTGTCAGAAACTATCTCTGAAATCCGGCATGGATCCCAGTCAGAGTGTGAAGTGTAAGATAGTGGTGGTGGGAGACAGCCAGTGCGGGAAGACTGCCCTGCTTCACGTGTTCGCCAAGGACTGTTTCCCTGAGGTGAGACCCTGCAAACACTGCAGACTGAGCATGATGCTAATTAACCTGGATTTATTAATACTCAGTGATATGATGGGCAAACACCTCGTCCATGTGTGGAGGTGGATGTGTCAGATGGGTTGATGCTCCAATAATAATGAAGGACATGTATGATGCATGTATGTGTTGTAGCTGAAATGCACTGCTGCAGTATTATAATACCAGTTGAATGGTGTTGTAATGGTAATAATGTAGTATTATTTATCTCATTTTGTCCATTTTAATCAAGGTTTAAGATACTAACTCTTATTTTATCCATGTGTCCTGCAGAGCTATGTCCCCACAGTGTTTGAAAACTACACAGCCAGTTTTGAAATCGACACACAGAGGATTGAGCTCAGCTTGTGGGACACCTCAGGTAATTATGCCCTCCATCATCTTATCTTGGCAGCCTCATGTTGGCTGTCTTTGTCAGTTGTGGTGAAATGTCCGGACATGTCCATGCATACAGGTCACACTCAAACCCTCTGTGACCCCTGTGGACATGCTCCCTCGCTGGTCAGGGGTGATGAAATTGAGCCATATCTATCGTTAATCAGTGTTGATGCTGAGGAAATTCCCTAAAAATGTCCAAATCACGTGATACAAAGAGGCCCAGGCTTGCATTTTTGAATAATGAAATTAATCTGTGACCCATTTTAATCAATAAAGCCGGGTTAATCCTTCCTCATAGTCTGGAGTTGCTGTTCCTACAAGCCAGACATGTTTCCCCTCAGATTAGGAAATGGCTCACCTTTTACCTACATAAAAATGTTAAGTGTAATAGTTCAGGGTTAACACAAAAATGCATCAAAGTGCTGGATTTGATTTATGAATCCTCCCCAGCGGAGGAAAGTAAAAGCAGAAACAGGAAAGGAAAGATAATGATAGGCTGAATAGAGCGTGTATTCATACATCTGGAGAACACACTTTGAAATTCTTCCCACTGTGGGTTTTTCGGGAAAGTTTTGTTGTGCAACACGTTTACTGGCTCCCCAGCTTTTATCGCTCTTTGGTTGGACTTGGTGTTCAGGGTCCAAGCCAGCTGCTGCGTCCCCTGAGTGTGTGCTTAAATGTGTGTGTGTGTGTGTAAACAAACCCACTTTCCCATCCATCAATGCCCAAGCAGTGAATAGCACAGCAGTCAGGCGTGAGTGAGGCGTATGTTGCGTGTGTGTGAGCATGTGGTGTGTGTGTGTGGGTGATGGGCGGGGACAAGCAGACAGCCAGCTGTTGCGGGTCTCTGGCCTGGAATTCCTGAGCAATGTTTAAGTAACTTTGTCAAACTTTAAATCAAAGATCGGCGTGTAATGAAGTAAAACTACAGAGTCAATTTTCAGATTTGGATTTCACACAGTTGTGAGAACAGCTGGACCTTCTTTGAGCAGCATGAAGTTAGTTTTTTGCTATGTTTTATACTTGAGAGTTAATAACCCTCATCTCCAGGCGCAGTAATGCTACAAGCAAGACAAGCAAAGAGGTCAAATTTCAAATTCTTTCACCCCCACAGTATGTGTGTACTGTGAAAGTGGAAAGGCGAAGAAATGAAAGTCGGCCAGAGTGAGAATTTTGTTTTATTGCGCTGTGTTGGCCGGCCGCCTGGAGCCATTTTTCTTCTTCTCTCTGCTTCATAAAACAGCAAGGGGGGGACGCCGTTCCTATTAGATCAGTGGGTCTGAGGTGGAGCCAGACCCCCACCCCCTTCAATCCTCACCCCCACCCAGCATGCACCAACACCCAGTGACTGATTGATACAGCCTTCGGCTTGGCTGGTCCCTTTGTAGAGACACCCATCGGCCATGGCCAATCCAATCGATCCCTTATCTCCTGAGGTGTGCTCGGGAGGGCTGTGTGTGTGTGTGTGTGTGTGACCCCAGCATGCACTAGGACAAAGACCAGGACGCAGAGACAAACACTTCAACCCCCCTCCCTCAGAACACCTACACACACACTGTGGTGGTCTTTGTTCTGCAGTGATGAGTGGTCTAATGAGATGGTTGGCGTGTATGTGTGTTTAAAAGGGAGGGTGATAGGAGTAATCCAGGTCATTAAGGTAAATGCCTGCCAGTTGTATTGCCTCCCATTTGTCCGCCACCCTGCTTGTTGGTGCTGGCTTCGCTTCCCCGGCCTCAGGGTGGGGCCCGATGGGGCCTTTGATGCTTCGCACGTCTTTCAGCGGTAGAGGAAGCGGTTTATGCTGTCTGCCTGCATGTCTAAATGAGCTGCAAAAGGTGTTTGTGTGAGAGTCAAACAGGAGGATATGAAGACAGGGAAGGTAAACAGAACAACCCCTGTGGCTCAGTGTGCCTCAGGCCTCTCCTCATTTTCCTCAGTTGACAAGAGCAAAAATCCATCTAAAAACCTATAAGCAGGTAATCTCAGGCAGGGCTGCGGCTAACGACTTCTGTCAGTATTAACATGTCGGGAAAAAAAGTTTATAGCATTTTCCCAGAGCCCAAGGTGATATCTTATAATTGCTTGCCTAACCCAAAAAATAGAGTTGGGGGATAAGGAGAAAATCAAACATCACAATATTTATGACCAAATAACCTCTATAAATTCTGCGACAATACTATAGGGCTGACTATCGGTGCTTCCACAAAATACTTACACAGTGAGATTTGTTATAATCATGAATAATGTGTATGTAATGACTAAAGGCAAGTAAAAAAGAGCTAAAACAGTCTGATAAGTTCAGAAAATTACATCACTTTACTGTAATGCAGCCTATAAAACCAAGGAAGGACAACACTTACTATGATATCTTTGATTTGCTTATCCAACCCAAAGATATTTAAATATCTTATATTGTAAAAAGTCAGGTTTCCTTGTCTTTTTTATTATAAAGAAGGTGCAAGTGAGTAATGTGAAAGTATCATAACGCTAAATCAACAAAGAAATGCACAGCGCAGTTCATATTCAGAAACAGTGCCTTTAAACGAGCCGGCAGGACTTCCGTGAAGTTGTGATGTCACAACTATACCATATAGACTGGATGGGGCTTAAAGAGACAGGCGCTTTAACGGAGCGTTCCAGACAGTGAAAACAGATATATTTGGCAGACAGTATGGGAAAAACTACTGTTAAACATTAAAGAACAAAATAATGCCCCATTAGAAACCCAAAATATGAACCTGAAAATGAGCATAATATGGGACACTTTAATTTACAGTCAAATACGATTTCCCCTTTTTTTGAGAAGCTGGAACCAACAAATGTTTGGTATTTTTTTCACAAGTAGTGATTCTTAAACCTGCATAAATGTATGATTTAGCAACATGTGAACAGTACAGCAAGCTGTGAACACAACACTGACAGAGTTGTGGCTAAAGTGTTAGCAACAGTTGCTTGTTTACACATCCAGCGGATATGGCACTAGCATTAACGTAGGGTCATGTTTCTGGCCACATGATAAATGAAAGTCCAGTAGACACTCTGGTTTGTTGTCCACTAACTCCTGAGAAATGTAGCTGGCTCTTAAGCTGTTCCGCTTTGTTCTCAAGCTAGTCTCTGGAAATGACACTTTGAGTAAGGTGACGGTGAAAAACAGCAAACAACGTTTTAATTTGAAACTAAAACTGCTGTTCTTAAATTTTCTGTCAATCAACTTATCGTTTCAGCGCTAATCCCAGGCTCGTGGAAGATTGGTTCAATCAGATTTGTCACCTTTTCTCTGGTTAAATATTCATAATGTACTCACGTTGGAGTGGACTGCACGAAACAGCTTAGCACGAGGTGTTTGTTCCAACTTTTTTAGGCTTTTTCCCAAAGCTAGGACAAATAAAAGCTTCAATATAATCTTATCAGGAAAAACACAGGAAGTCTCAGGCATTTTTACATCAAGGACTCCCAGAGAAACCCATGTGTGAGACCCCATGGATCTCATTTGATAATATTTATCCCGGGGAACCTTCAGGGAAAGTTGTTTTTTGTTTAGTGCAGATTTGAACAGCTGCCGACTCGGCACATTAAAAGATGACCCACTTTGAAAACAGGAAGAAAGTCAGATAAAGTTCTTAAAGGAAGATGCATAATGATAGTGCATAGAGCCGCCCAGATTATCATTTCCTTCTGTGGCTTCTAGAGCATGCTGCATGTTCCCCTGTAATACTGGACAGCTGAACTATGGGACTTTTTCATGCACTCAGTAAGCTCCTCTGCCCCTCACACACACTGTGCTCCCTCCATTCTTGTGTCGGCAGCCATTGTTGCTTGGGATCACATTTCTAGGCTCAGCGAATTGGAGCCGCATGTCTGGCATTCCTCAGACTAAAGGTTTCTACTTCCTCCTCTACAAAGACCCCTATTGTACCAGCAGGCCCAGATCCTTAGCGGAGTGAAAGAGAAGTGGCGTGGCTCTCTAAAGCCCTACCTCGTTTCCAAGGGGAAATTGAATCACACTGGAATTTGCCGACTGGCGAGAGAGCCTCGGTGGTGATACAGTGCATGAACTGAAGGACAGTGGAATCCTGGGAGAGATTAATGGACTTCCTGTCTGCTAATGTCGGGGAAGGACCTGACACCTGACATTAAAATCTGTGTCCCGTCTTGACACTGAACACCTTGCACTCTTGGCTCACTGTGCCCCGCCGTTCCTGTTTGAATGGAGTTGTACTTGAGTAACACCTTGTTGTGAATGTGGCCTCAAGTGTCACTAACAACACCTCTTTTACAGTGTTTAAGGTGCATTCACATCTGGATGTCAGGGCTTTTTCATTTAGTTGGATCACATGAGGTGAGATCTGAGAGATAAATGTTTGTCTCGAAGTTCTGGATCATAACTGAGGACAAAACAAATGTATACACTAGGCTGTGATATTTCTTTATATATATACTTTGACAAGATATGGAACATATGACAGCATTGTATTGTTTTTAAAACATTGCATCATGACACATATCAAAAAATATTGTGGTTAAACATCATATGACATTGTAATATATTGTATTGTAACATACCACATCACATCATTGTGTCATGTACTGTATTCAAGCCATAGTAGCACAAAACCTTTTCAAACTTTACATAGCAGGATGGCAGTGTTTGCAGCAGCAGATACCTTGGTAACCACAGCAACTACAGCCGATATTGGTTCAGGTTACTGCAGTTTAAATTGCTCTTTGCCTTCTTCACTGTTTGTGTTAAATGTGTCTGGCTGGTATTTAAGCTCTATGGAGTGGGATGGCTGGACGTGCCCGTCGTTGTTTGTTGTTTTCACAGGTGTCCCTGAAGGCTCAACGCCTCTCCACACACACACACACACACACACACACACACACACACACACACACACACACACACATGCTCTCACCGCCCCTCAGCTCGGTTCTGCTCAGCTATGTTAGCTATGCAGTAAATCAGCAGGCCTGCAGACCTGTTGCCATACCTCCAGACTGTCAGCCGCAGCTGGCTTACCTCAGGACTCTCTGCGTTTGGTGTGCGATAAAATACATTACCATATCTGTAAGCCATTTGTGTGAATGCCTTCTACAGTAAGTAGGATGTCTTGAACATTATGGGCTATTTTAGAACTGTAGCCCAGACAGGCAACATCAGGAAATATCAGATTCTTTCTCCTTTTCGGTGGAAGTCAGAGAACATCTGGGAATTTGTATATTGAGTCACGTTACATGAATAGAGCAGAATGTATTTTCCAACTTTTTCATGTGTATTTACTGCATTAAGTGGTGCTTTTCATCCCAGCTGTTGTGGAAACCAGCCTGAAAAAGCACATTAACAAACCAGTGAGGAAGAATATTTTTACATTTGGGAAGAGTTTTCTGTGCAGTCATGGAAACTCATTTTGGTTTTTCATCAGAGCCACAGTGGGGGTTTGGTATTGTCTCGCAGTTTACTGTATCCTCATGTCTCCATGCATTTGTTTGCTGTGAGGAAGACGCAAGAGAGAATATATTGAAGAGAAGGCGAGGGGGCTGGAGAGTGTTTGTCAGTGTGTGTTTAAAGGACGGACAGGGGAGGACGGGGTGTGTGTCTTCCTTCCAGATTTAGAGATCCTGTGGGAGAACAATGACAGGAGCTAATTAGATGACAGTCACCAGGTCTTGTGTGTGTGTGTGTGTGTGTGTGTGTGTGTGTGTGTGTGTGTGTGTGTGTGTGTGTATATGTATATGTGTGTGCTAGCTGTGGGATTTCCTCTTATCTTTCCGGTTGGCAGGAAGATGACCGCAGAGCAGAGTACAGTTGCAGACGCAGGCCTAATGCAGTTACGACTCTGCTATAAACAGCAGACAAGAAAGAAAATGTCTCCTATTAAAAGTCTCCTGAAAGCCATTAACAGGCCCACGCACACACATCAGCACGCCAAATGCAAATTTTGATCCTCTGTGAAAGTTTCCTGTTGGTGTTGTGCAGCTTGAAATGCTTTGCAAAGATGCACTTGGAGGATTTGCAGCTATAAATACTTTAATCTCCAGGTAAATTCACAGGAATATGTGAAAACAGGACCACACACACTGCACCCAGCAACTCAGATATGTGTGTTTCTCCTCACTGGGTTGGTCAAGACAATCAATTCATTGTAAAATGTCAACTGACTCTACAGCTTACCCTTTCAGTCGCAGGGTCTTATTTTTCCAGTGATTGGTTCCAGGCAGCGAGTGCTGGAAAAAAAGGAAAAAACCTTCCAACAATGCAATGCGGTCGTGATTGATTTTGAGACAGCCGTGAAAAATGGGGAATAAATTCTTGCGGGGGATCCCACATTCCTCCTTCACCTTGTACTTCCTGTGCTGTGCCGACGACAGGAGCTGAGAGTCGGGCCTTTTTGTTTAGGTGGTGTCACCTATCAGACGGCTTTCCAAAAGATCCTCAGGGAGCGAGTGGGAAAGCAGAGAGTCGTTGGGAAACAAAAAGCCTGTCCCCATCTGAAACACATTATGTTAAGATTAAGACATCACAATAATTTATTCTGTGTACTTCCTGGCATCCATACCTCACTGACTTTCTGTTTTTTGAAACAGCAAACGGCATAAAGACGCAGAAATGTGCTGCATCCTGGTTGGCCTGTGTGAATCAACATTCGGGAAAACGATACTGTGGAATTTAGGGTTGGAGCCAGAGCATGCTATTGCGACAATGACCCGTTACCACAATCTTCCTGCGCTCAAAAGTCCCTTATAAAATTAAGGGTAGGATCAATGCTGCTAGTAGGCTTCTCCTAATTGCATTTTACAAGCTGTTAGTGAGTCGGCCAAACTACAAAATTAAACCATTGCCTGTTAGCTTGTAAAGACACCTTGCAAATCAGTGTCTTAGCCAAATATGGTTTGATAGAAAGGAACATTACCCTGTGCTGTTTTTGATGTTTGGATGTTTCGAAGGAGTGTATCTTTTTGCTGTCCAAAAGAGTGATTGGTCTGAATGTCATTTTCCAGCTTCATGCCATGGATGTATAAAGAGACCTGGATACTGCTTTGAAGGCGAGACCTTGTTCATTCCTATGGGAGTTGCTCAGTGGTGCATTAAGCCAAAATGGTTGTATTGCTATGTATAAAATTACTTGGACGATCCAGGGATTATTGGCAATACTTCCACACCCATAGGGCAAACACACGAGAGACTTTTGGTGGCAGAGCTCTACCAAGTGTAGCAGAGTGGCTAACTTCTGCTAACTTCCTGTTTAGCGCTCTACTAACTTGAATGGGGATAAAATTATTTAATATTATGGCTCTTCTAGACTTTGCAAATGTTATCGGACCGCATGAATCAAATCCTGATAGTGAAACAAGCCATTTTGTTTGGTCACTACAAAAATTGGCCTCAAAGCCTGGTGCACATCCTGGGGTCCTGGTTGTAAGTAGGTAGCAGCCGAGTAATGGCCGACAGCTAATGCTAACGGATAGTAAATATTAGTTAGAGTACCTTGTATACTTTTAAGTGCATCACAACACTTTTTATTCACCTAAACTGAGAGCTGAGCAACAGCAAGTCCTGCCAGTCTATGAGTCTATGACATGTAGCGTTAGCTAGCATTAGCCAGTGTTAGCTAACTGAAGCTAACGTAGCTGCTAGCTCAGCAGCGAAAGGAGACAGGTAGCTGCTCGACAGGATCACTTATGCTGTGTTCACATTAAGGGTGACACAGCAACAAGTTACAGTTCCATTTTCAATGGAAGCTGGTGACATGAAGCTACAAACTGATGCCTGACGCTGTGGTACTGTTAATTAGCTTAGCTAGCTGACAGTATGCTAGCATTCTGTGCATTGTGGTGCACATGGAAATGCAATAGGGTGGTGAAATGTGATGTTAAAGTGGTGTGATGTTAAAGCTCATTTATTTGTTGACCAAATACAAACTTAAGATGACGTTCAGTTGAGGTGCCTTGTGGCAAGCAGTTGACACACAAGCCCGTCACACAACCACGTTAATACGTGAGCAACACTTCAACAATATGACTTACCAGCAGTCATCACTAAATATAATCCCACTTTTAATGTAATAATTGGAGTAATGAAAGTATAATTTTAGCACAGTTATTTAGCTGTTATGACTAGAGATGAGCTCAGTTAAGTGGTTTGGTTTCTACCTCCAGATGAATTGCTGACCTTAGGCACAATATTGATTAAAATATTTGCCAGAGGCATAGCTCTGGTTTAGCAAAGAGGTTATGTCTAATATTAATTCTTATGTTATGAATATTACTGTGTTGCACTCAGAGGATGTACAGTTTTTACAGTACTGTTTATTTTCCCCATTGGATGGAGCAGTGATCTCATCGGCCCATTCGACCTCCTCCCAGACGACCCTGGCTCAAACACTGGCAATGTATGATTGTGGACATAGATATGGTTCAGATTTCTGTATGCAGCGGCGGTACATTTATTGTGCACACATCAGCTAGTGTCATGCTTTGTTGTGTGAGGCCCAGGCCTGGAAGGAAGGACGGATTGTATAAACGGTGTCGTCTCCCATCCAGACTGTTTAGATTAGAAACACTAGATCCCCGACTTTGTGTTTGGTGTGTGTGTGTGTGCATTCCTGGCTTTTCTCCATAGCAGTGTTTAGAAAGGACCTCCCAAGGGAACCTTCAGTTACCAAAAACAAAATTCTCCACATTCTTGGCAGCCTGTTGTGTGTGGTCAGCGCTCTCTCGTCATGTGATCTTGACTCACCTTGACATGACGCCACCCTCCCCCCCCCTCCCTTCCTCTCCGGAGATGTTTCAGTCTGCCGGAGAGATGGGCGTCGCCCTCACACATGGTTTTAATTTGGAGTATTCCTCGCTCTGAAGTTCTCCGTTTCTCCGGGGGAGAATTTCTTCAACAAGTGATCTTGTCGTAGTCAGCACATTTTTTTTACTGATTCTGCATTATTTGTTTTTCTCGCTTGGTTGCTATGGATTATGGCAGTGCTGCAATCATGTCATATGAGAATAACTGTCGGAAATGCTTTAGAGTTAAAGCAATGATTTGGCCGTGTTCATGCATAGTAGAGAATGTGTTTGTGGTTTTCTGTACATTTTAGTAGCTGCCCCTCACTTCACTGCAGGTATTTCCTTCAGTAAAAAGCTGAAGGCCTCCCAGGAAAAATGTTCTTTCTACCAACAGAGATTTGAAGTCTTATTCAGCATTGTGAGTTGTCCAATTTTCTGGTGTAGGCCTATGTACCAGGGTAAAGCTGGGTGTATGTACATTTGTGTGTCCATGTCCTTGCCCAACAGCTTCAAAGACAAATTTGATCTGATATATATGTGAACACTGTTACAGTCTCTTGCTTTCCTCTGTTTCAGGATCTCCATACTACGACAACGTGCGGCCTCTCTCCTACCCAGACTCTGACGCCGTCCTCATCTGTTTTGACATCAGCCGCCCTGAAACACTCGACAGCGTGCTTAAAAAGGTTTGTTGCTCTTTACTCCAGCATTCATTCAGGAAGCGATCATCAAGCCTTTGATAAGCTTAGCGGAAGTCTTTCAGCCTCTTAACTCTAAATCATTCCTCCACTGTAAAGTCTTTGATTTTGTTTGATCCGCTGACAAAAGCCGTGTCTGCAGTCAAGAGACTCTTCTGTAGATTCAGTCACGTCAGATCTTGTGATGTGAGGATGTAAAGTTGTAGTGTGACTGGAGGGTTGCTGGGTTAAATCCCCGGAGCAGCTGGAAGAAGGAAGTAAAGCTCTCCTCTGACTGAATTTTCAACTGAGATGAAGCCACCGGTTACTCACATGGAGCTGCTGGTGGTTAACATCTGACTGTGGTCGCACTGGCTGATTCCCACATGTGTGTACTCAACATAAAGGGTCATCTGACTGGTGGAAGGCTTTGATGTTACTCAGAAAAAGGTTGCAAAAATGTATTGTTTGTTGACAGTAAAATGAACCTGTCATGTGCTCTTCTTGTGTAAGGAACTAACTGTTTTCATGGGTTTTTTTAGCTGTCCATAAAATTTACGACATGAACTAGTTTTCTGTGTGTCCTTACTGTTTCATCAGTCATGTTGTTTCACACAGTGAGCGTCTCGATTAAGATTAGCATTGGTCTCATTGGCTCTTAGTCCAGTGCTGTTTGTGCAGACAGAAAGTGACAGACACATTGTACAAAACAACTTCCTCTTTGGATGTCGATGAACTTGATCCCCTGACCAGCCAGCCAGCCAGCCAGCCAGCCCTGAGGCACATGAGCCCCAGATTAAAGTCCCTGGAGAAATACCATCGATCACAGAGCATTTATTGTTGTCAGGGAGGAAACATGGGGATTATTTGTAGTTCCTTTCCAGGGTTGAAAGCGTGAGGGGCTGCAGGAAGTGGCAGCTTTAACCTTTGGACTTAAAAGGATGGGTGACTGGGGGGTGGAACTCTTGGGATGTTGTGTCAGGTTTTTCTCCCCAGCATGCATATTTTAACACGTATTTGAACACTTTCCTTGCAGTTAAATACTCATTTTAAACATTAGGCTTTGCTTGGTTTATATTCATATGTGGTCTGTTGGGAAAATGGAGCTAAATATTGATCTTCTGCTCGAGCAGCGGTGGTAGATAATTTCCAATTTTTTCCACTGCTGTTGAATGAATTAAGAGGAAAACACTGTTTTCTCTCTGAATATTTCATGATGCGAGCTTTTGCCTTCTTTTTTCACAGTGGAAAGGAGAGATCCAGGAGTTTTGTCCCAATACTAAGATGCTGCTGGTTGGATGCAAGTCAGACCTCCGCACTGACCTGAGCACGTTGGTGGAGCTTTCCAACCACCGACAGACACCAGTCTCTTATGACCAGGTACGCACTGTCAACTTTAAACGGCACATATTTAAAAGAAACTTCATTCATGAATAATTGCTCACTGAACTCCACTTAAAGCCACAGCCGATCCCTAAGAGAGAAAATCCTGTCGTCATTGTTGACGCGAGTACTTAAAAATATGTTAACCTGACCTGCAAGCTTTAACTTCCGGTAGTGACCATATTTGACCTCTTCCTCCTCAGGGTTCCAGCATGGCCAAGCAGATCTCGGCACCCTACATCGAGTGCTCGGCTCAGCAGTCGGAGAACAGCGTCAGAGACATTTTCCACGTGGCTACGCTGGCTTGCATCAACAAGAACAACAAAAACGTTAAGCGCAGTAAGGCCACTCGCGGGAACAAGAGGATTTCACACATGCCTGGTAGGCCTGACCTGGCGGCCGTGGCCTCGGACCTCCGGAAGGACAAAGCCAAAAGTTGCTCGGTCATGTGACTGATGAAACTGAGGGGGATTAGGCTGAGACTGAGGACAGAGCACAGTGCAAGCAGGAAGCTATGGGGCAATGCTCTTTCCTGCATGCTAAAGACCCCTTATGTGTCTGGAAAGGGGTTTTATAAGCTTCAATTCATGTACATGTTACTGGAATACTCTGCACCAGTGAAAACTCAATGCGTAGTAGCGTCCCAATCCATGTGGCCCCCTGCCCCACCAGACGAGGAAGCTATCTGTCAGCGAGCTACCTGCTCAGGGAAGTGACCTGCTTCCTTTGGGAGGATGGAGCGGATGTGGTCGAGGCTTTCCACACCAACAGGAAATAAGCAGGAAGAGTGATGTCATTAGGAGATGCTCATTTGTAACGGAAATGTTTAAAAGCGTGTGATCTTTTGAATGAGAGCCAAAGCCGGCAAAGGGGGTCTTGCTGCCTGGGGAAAAAAAGAGGAGCTGCTGTTGTTTGTGCTGGATCAAAGACTTGTTGCTCGGAGGGCTTATACAACTCGTCACTGTAGTTTGGAACTGATTCACTCTCACTCCTGCTCGTGTAACTGTTAGTCTGTGTGCAGAGGACATTAGAAGAGGAATTTCTCAGTCCCGCACAAAAAAAACCTGACGCTGTTTGTCCCCTGTCTCTGATATGTTGTCAGTATAATGTGAAGTCATTGGTGTGCAACTGCATCATTGTTTTATTTTAGCTTCATCCTGATCAGTCTCAACCACAAACAGCTTGTAGCAGTCAGCCAGTCTGTGCCCATTTATTTCATGTCAACAGCTATAGGTACATAAAGACTCTCTAAAGACAGATTATCCAAACTGTTCTCCACACTGACATGTTTATGGTCCCCTCTGTATTATACTGGGGAGCCATAAGCGAAATAGCTCAAAGCTGTACCCGTCACGATTTGACAAACAATTCCTCAAGTCCATGTGATAAACAAATGCAAGTCGGCCCTTCAATTAGTGACACTTTTAAAACGAGAAAACACAAATAACTTGCATAACACATTTTAAAACACATAATGGACCCTTAATGGGCTGAGGAGCTTAAGTTGACCAACACATATCAAGTGAAAATATGACTAATTATGTAAAATGAGAAGGTCTTAGCAGGCAGACAGCCAGTTAGAGCTATGAGTCATTTTCCCACTGCACTTTAGGGAGGGAGTGGAAATGTAAGCAACAATTAAAGCTTGTTTATTAGGCTCTGAAAAACATCGGCACTCTGCTTTGCATTTCCCTGAAGTGTTCAGACTCTGCTGTTGGGTAAAACTCTGATAAAGGCCCGGTCACGGCAACAACTATTTGGATAATGAATTCATTGTTTCAGCCATTTCTCAATGCGTTTTAACATTTTACAGACTATGTGACCAACTGAGAAAACAATCAGCAGATTAATTGCTAATGAAAGTAATTATCAGCGCTACTTGGCAGGGAGTGGAGTAAACAGAATGTCCTACTAGCATTAGCTGATGGGCGTACTCATGCACTGTTCGTACATATACCTATGAAAAGTAATGCACCGAATTTCGTATAAAACCATGAACTAGTAACTCATATATAACCCAAATAATCAGAAAGGCTGCGATCATGTGACCAATGAACTGATGGGAGTGAAGAAGGAAGTAGTATAAAGAGACAAGGTACGTGTAGATGGAAGGTCGGGGTGATGAACTGGTCAAACAACACAGGGCTTTACCCCAGGAGACCAGTATTTGTGTCCTGTGTGAGACCAACTGAACTTTGAATTATTTTAAGGTGTATCGTCAACCATGTTTCTTTTCCGAAACCCGAGTTACGTGACTTAACTTTCCTAAACCTGAATTGCACAACTTTAAGTTAAGTACATATCTTTACATTAAATACGTAACGTGATGATGACTACACCATTCCAGGGTTGATAATTTGTTGAATATTGAATGAATCATGAACAGTTGCATGAGGATACGTTAACCTAGCAGAAGTAACTTTCACTTTCTGGTGTGACCGGGCCTTTACTTAAACTGTATGATTTTATTTTTCCCACATGGTTTGACATGTTATTCAGTGTTTGGGTTTCACAGCCCTTCATTTGAGATATGTCATAATGTAAACAACAAATGGGCGTTAATTTGAAAATTAGACTTTTCTGAAGTCTTGAGAGACAGTGTTGTTTACAGTGTAAAATTGTGTTTTCCCTCTAACAGTGCAATTAAGGAGCTGTTTAAATATCAAAGGTATTGATGCACTTTTAAACTAACTTCCCAATTAGTTTGTTCAAATGCCAGTGCTGTCACATTTGGCAGCTCAGTGGCCCAACTCATTTCTTGATTTTCTAATCTGTTGTCTCTTCCCCGTGTACATTTATCATGTTTTCTTGAATGTTGATGTCACCTTCAAATGTCTTTGCCAATGTTGTTGCCGCAATATTTATTGAATTATATATTTTCCCTTTAGAATAAATGCAAATGGAATTGAAGAAGTGCGTTTTCTGTTCATTGAGAGGAAACATGATGTGAAACTGTAAACCATAGTGCTGCCATTGCTTTACGAGAGCTCCCACTCATTGGAAACAAGCCTGTCTTCCATTTGAAGCAAATCGATTGTGTTGATGTTGGCAACAATTGTATTTTCCGTCCATTGCGTCATTGGGTTTTCACCAGATTTCACACTTTCCCCTGAGCTGAGGTAACGGCAGTAATTTCTACTCAAGGTCAGGCTGCTTTCAAGGATGTTCTCTTTCTTTTACATCTATAAGTTGAATTCATATGGAAAGCAACAGCTTGAATTGATATTTCTTCCACACACTCTTTACATCAACTGGTGTGTGCATACAGATTGTATTAAATGTAAACCAAAGAGATCTTGTGTAAACACAGGCAGGTAAAAAACAGCTCAAGGATAATCAAAAACCAAAACCAAAGATGTGTACTTCAGCACCTGTGGTGCAAACAACTTAATTCCAGCCACATCTGTGTGTTAATACAAAGAGCTTTTCAATCATAGCAATATTACACAGGTGTCTGCTTTCTGAGACCAGGGCTGTGTTCACAATTGCATACTAATGAACTTCCTACTACGTCTTTCTGTACTGCATACTGCATACTAAATGAACAATTAAGTTTGCCATTGCCAACAGACTGTTCACTGAAGTATACTCAAAATCTCAAAGGCCGTGCACTCTAAAGGGAGGCACAGCATTGTGGGGCAGTTCGGTATGTCCAGTAAGGTTATGTCTCAGACGCAGAAGTCTATATTCGGACATTCCTCATGTATGCAAAGTCCACATACTATGCAGCGTGGTTGCACTATAACTCAATTTTGTGTCATACCTAGCATGAATAGTATGTTAGTATGTGATCTTGAACACTGCCTAAAATTGGGCATAAAATGTACTATGAAGCCAGTGGACTGTTTCAGGGTATATTTTCGATTCAGCCGTTGAAAAGACAAAGTAAAAGTTAAAAGAAGTTTCTCATTTAAAAATACTGAAACAAAAATAGTCTGAATATAATAAATAGATATTTTATCATCAGTTGACAACTTCACATTCAATGCACAAAAGGGTATTAAATCTATATTCACTCTGAATTAAGTTGGTAAAGGTGATATGTGCTGAAGGCTGAGTAATATTTTGTTTTCCTTCATCCTTCAATGTGACTCATTAGGACAAAGGACACACCTGTGATGTGTTGGCATTACTGCACAGGTGCAGCCTATTTCAAGGCCTGATGGTTTCCTGATCTGTAACACTCAGACAAAGACATGCGGTTGAAATATGATGGTGGCTTTAGCCTTTGTTTGCTCTCTCTAACAAAAGCTTTTTGCATGTGCACTACTCAAACATGCCTGGGGTCAAATCTCTTAGAAACCATAAATATAGTCAGTTGTTCCAAGTTTACATTTGCCCTCATCAAGACTGTTTGGGGTGGTTTATTGGTTAAATACAGATGAAGTGAGTTTGTGACAGGAGGGTTTATTGATGAGCTGGTGGGAAAATTGGGGAATTAGGGAATGAGCACTAGTGATGTCAGCCATAATCTAAGTCCTCTGTTGAGCCCTGTTTGAATTAGCTTTATTTCATTGTTTATGATTTAACACACAAGCCTGTTTTTTTCAGTTCTTCAAGGCTAAGGTTTATATGGAAGCATTGTCATAGCATAACATTAGCATTAAGAACGGGGCTCCTCTTCCAAAAGAAGTTTATTCAAGTATACTTTGAGTATACTTCTTTTAAATTAAAAAATAAGAGAGTATGCTTTCAGTTTACTTTTTATGTACTTATCAGAGATATACTTACCATGAGTGTACTTATGAATATTTGACTTATACTGTACAACTATACAAAAAAGTCTATTTGGCTTATACTTGTACTTAAACTTTTTAGACATGTTTAAGCGAGGTATATTTAAGTATTCAGGCCTTATACAGAAAGATCCCAGATAGCAAGGTGACTCATCAATGTTAAGATATACCATGTTAAATGTTATTGAATCAATGCTAATATTCTTTGCTTTTGCAATGTTGAAATGACAGTATTGAATTAACATTGATTTTTGGTCAGCTGCATTGCCGCTGGTCCAGGCTAATTCTGTGACTTCATGACCCTTCGCTTTAGCACCACCAACAAACACATATTTGACTTCTATCTATCTATCTATCTATCTATCTATCTATCTCCATAGGACACTTTAATTTGCCCCTAAGTATATTTATATCAAGTTATTTTGTAGATCACTAATTGTATATTTTTCCTGGACACAATAAATGTGTTATTTGTGGTTGGTTGGCTCAGTTCAACATATAAACATATTCTGCAGCTTTAAAAAGTGTGGTTGGTGAGAATGCTGAGTAATCAGAGTGCAACCTAAACTTATATTTTTTAATTGTATGTAATAGGTTGTTTAAGAGTCGTTCCGTTTTTCCTGTAATGTGATTGGTTGGTGGGAACTTGACTGAAGCGCGCGCGGGTAAGCGAAGGAACGATCAAACGGCAGCGGCATTAAGCTCAGGAAAAAAAAAACAGTAAGAAAAGACTGAGAATTTGGTGTGAACTGTATTTTCAACGTGTAACACTATAGCAGCTAGAGTGTATCAAGACTGCAGACCAGTAAAGAACCGGAACTGTGTGCTGTGAGTCGCTCAGTAACCAGCAACGCAGTAGCATATATTGTGTTTAGCCTCTCGAGCTAACTAACATAGCTGCCCACACTGGACCTTCTGAACTGCACAAATAGCGCTTCAGGTAACCAGGATGAAGCCTGGTAGCTCCTCTGGCATCAAGGGACACACTCAGCTAACCAGATAGCACTCCAGGTAACCAGGATGAAGCCTGGTAGCTCCTCTGGCAACAAGGGACACGCTCTCTGGCTTCAGGTGACCAGGATAAAGCCTGGTAGCCCTTCCAGTGGCCACAGTCAGTCATCAGTCTGCAAGTCTATTCTGGCACACTTGGAGGTGGACACAAAGGACTCGAACACTTCTATTGTAAGTACTCAACATCATTTGTTTTTGCTTGGTTAAAGCGACGTGGCACTGTTTTTGGCCACCATTATGTGTAGAGTTGACCAGGCCTGCAATAGGGGGTTAATTTTTCAAATCAAACTTTATTTGTATAGCACTTTTCATACATTAAAGATGCAGCACAAAGTGCTTCACAGAACAAAAACATACAACAAAAATACTACATACATATTGAAAACCCACCCCACCCACCCCCACATATAAACACACACACACACACACACACACACACAGTCAATATAGTCAATATAGTAACATGGCTGGGCACTGAGGAACCAGGTGAGGAAAGAACCACCTATGGGGAGCTCATCCATACTGAGAGGTGTCACAGCCTACGGCCACAGGGAGCGCCGCCACGGAGACCACTCCAACCCAGACAGACCGAGGTAGACTCCACACATGGTGCAGAGCCCCCCAGTCCTCCGGACCTGAGGGATCTCCAGGACGACGTCCCCGCGGGCAGACCGGACACACCTCTCAGTATGGAGGCCCCCCATGAGAAAAATTTAAGCATTTAGAAAAAATTAAAGATTTAAAGATTAAAAATAATAATAAATAAATAAATAAATAAATGAAGATTTAGAAATATAATATTAATAAAATGCATAAAGATTTTAAAATAAATAATTTAAAAGCATTAGCTTATTTTCTTTCTGGTTGCTGGTGTGTGTGAGTGTGTCTAAGCCCACAAGGTCATTACGTGTTTGGCACAGTTTTCAGAGTTAAACAAAAAGTTTTGAGGTTTATTCAGTAAAACCACAAAAGTAGAAGGTTTCACGAAATTAGCTACCTATTGAAAAATGTGCAGAAAGCACTACACTATCAGGTGTTGATGATAAATTATATTTTAGAAGTTTTGAGGGCAATGCTAACCATAAAGCTTAGGGGGGGTGCAGAAACGGTTGATAGGACTTCTTTGTTATTTGAGGTGGTAATTTAATGCACATTTTGCATAGTGAGAGTACTGTACTAGCTTCATCCAAGCTAGGAGTAGGGTACTTATATTTTTTCAAGCAAGAAAATAGCTAACGTGGTGGTTTTATTTCAAAAACTTCTCTAAAGTTGGTCCCTGGCAGCCCACAAACTTTTTGTGGCTCAGGAGGTAAAGCAGGTCATCAGTCCATGGTTCCCCCTGTCCACATATCAAAGTGTCCTTGAGCAAGATACTGAACCCCAAATTGTGTGTGAATGTTCAAATTGAGTTGCAGGTGGCACCTTGTATGGTAACCTCGGTCACCAGTGAATGAATGTGATGTGTCGTGTAAAGCACTTTGTGAGTGGTCAGAAGACAATAAAGGCGCTGTGCAAGTCCATTTAAAATTTCTACCTTGTTAAATGGCTATCCTGAGGCAGAGGAGCCACACACTCAACCAAGAAATGTTGTTTTCAACTAAATGGGGAAAATGTTCTTTTCATATGGTTGTCTTGCAGTGGCTTGGTGGAGTTTTCCTTGTTGCATTCTTGTCTTATGATGCGTCTCACATCGTGCATGCTGCTGTCAGAATTTCAGTGGATGCAATGGAACAGTCACCTGCAATAAAATGAAGTGCTAGCAAGTGAGTGAGCAATTGGGCCAATTTAGTCTCATGTATTGAAGTAGTACACTTACAAACCATTAGTACATTGATATTAGTATACTTAGTATATAGAATATATTAAAGAAATAAAGTTGAACTTTACCATCTTTTTTGCAAGCTTACTAAATATATTATATAAACCAGTGATTGCTGCAGATGCCATTCTAAATGGGTTAAAATAGTTTAGTATTTACACAGCAGTTACCATTCACATCAGCTCTAAAATATGACAACAGTCTTTCCTTTCAGAAAAACAAGTTGGACTTGAGTCCTTGACTGTCTTGACATCTCAGTGAAAAGCAGGTTTTGTAGCAGCTGAATGGAACAAAAAGCTCTCTGTGAGTCAGACTACATCGTCTCGTCTACTTGAAAAGCTACA